AAATAAAAGAAAAAAAGGTACTAGTTAAACTTGTTATTTTCTTGAAAAGCCTATAGTTTCTTGAGTTAATAAGAAACAAAATTCGGTTGCTTTGTCCTTGGCTAAAGCTAAATATGTAGTCACAAAAAGTTGTTATATACAAATTTTATGAATGAAACACGTTTTACTATATTTTAAACTTAAATATAAACACATTCCTATTTAGTGTGTTAATATTAGTACTATTAACATTTCTAAAAATCTCGTTCAAAACTTCAAAACGAGACACATTGATATTATGCATCATCTTTTAAAAGATCATGTTCAAAAATGATATGTAACACTTCAAATTGCGGGTACTGAATATTAATTAGCAAATATTTTTACAAAACTTATTAATAAAGAAAGATTTTGTTTTATCAAAAAAGAACTTGGCCTTAAAGACTTGAATATATAGTTATTATTAATTACATATAATTTTTTTTTCATAGGGAGAAAGTCTCTAAATCTTTTTCATCCATATATTAAGGAAGAGCTTATATAGTTAATCTTTTTGATGATATCAAAAAGGGATACTTTATATGACATATGCTTAATGAATATTTTATGTTGTGTATTTGTTTTTTCATCACCAAAAATAGGGAGATTATTAACCTCAATGTCACATACTAATTTTACTAATGATAAAACAAATTAAAATTATTATATGTATACATTTTTATAATGAATAAATCATATTATTGAGTTTATTATTTAGAAATATATACACGACATGTTGTGCTAAAAGATAAAATTGTTAAATTAGACATGCATGTAGCAAATTGATCATATCTTATTGTATAAAAGTCCAAAAATAACAAAATCAATTTTATATGAAATTATTCAAATATTTTTACTTTGGTATATAATTTATCTCATGTAATCTTTTATACTAAAGAAATTTTTTATATCAATTTATATATTATCTTCTGAAAAAGTTAATATTTAAATGTACACCATATGAGCTTTAAATGGTAAAATACATTTTATCTTGTTACTAAGATTTAAATTTTGTTTTTCTTGTAAAATAGACATACAAGATTTAAATAAATATATTACATGCATGTTTTGCACTTATATTTAAATAGATACAATTCTTCTAAATAAGTTACTTTGTTGAGTCACACTGTCAGTGAATAAAATGAGTATACTATAGTTTTTTAGTCATATCTTAAAATATCAAATTTTAATTTTTGCAATCCAATTTCAAATGAAAGTAAATGTTATAAACTTTTCAAAAATATATAATTTATTATTTTTTGTTGCAATTCAATTCTCTAGTCATTTCAGAATGTTCGAAATTCTTTTAGGATATTTTGAACATTGGAAGTTATTTTTTTGAATTTTTAAAATGAGCCGGACTAAAATTTGTCTCCTTTCGTTTTACAAAAGGCCAAGAGTTGTCCAACATCTCTTCAACATTTGTTTAGTAATTTTGCCTATAAAAGGAATATATATTAAAAGAAGTATTCAAGAATAAGTTTTTAAAGTTTCCTAATTCTTTCTCTTATTCTTTGTACAACGTTTTATACTAGTTAAACAAAGAGAACCTTGAACAAATTGTTTACTCCTGAAAGTGCCTCTATGAAGTAAGATTATGTTATATATGAGTAGTAACTAATCCTACTTAAGAAGAATTTCCACATTTCTACTTTATCTCTACTATAAGTTGTATTGGTATTTAAAGCTTATTAAATTAAAACCTTTGTTCGTAATCGAGAATTCTTATCTCCTTTAAATGCAAGGATTTAGTAAAATCTTGATTAGTTGGAGCTCAAAAGAGTGAACGTAGACTTAGATATAAAGGAAAATTATTATAAAAGAATTTGTATTTCTTATCCCTACTCTATTTTACTTAAAATTGTTTTGTATTTACTTTGTGTGAATTATATAAATTTAATTAATTTAAGTCTCGTTACACAATTAATTTTTCATGCACTTAGTTGCCATGATAGATACCCAATTCACCCCCCTCTTGGGTTATCTTTTGTGATAACATAGATCTTAAGGGCTTTTTTCCCATTAGTTGAACTCCAGTTCAGCTTTTGCTCATGTACCAATAAGAAAATCCGAAGTTCATCCAATAAAAGTACATCGAGTTATTTAAATTGTTCAATTAAACAAACAACAAAATCATATCTTGATGTTAGGGAGCGTAGAATCTTCTCAACAATAGTGACATCATTCATCTTTTTCCCTTCAAATTGCATTTTATTGACAATCTTCATAGTTCAAGAAAAAATAGCTTGTGATGGACTCGCTTTTACTTTCATTTTAAAAATCTCAAAGTCTAAAGTTGTGCATGATTCACCCTTAACAAACCTTGATACTTCTTTTTTCATGGAGTCCCAAATGCTATTCGTGGTCTCCCAATTGAGAATGGTCCCTAAGATTGTTCGATCTATTTCTTGGAAAAGTGGTTTTTGGCTTTCAAATCCTTCAACTTTAAACTTCAATTCTACCTTCTAAGTAGATGTTAACACTGTTGGAATTAATGGTTCAACCCCTTCTTCAATTTTGGTTGAAGGTTCTACAATACTTTCACCAATCATCTACCAGTAATCATTACATGTCAATAAATTCTCCATCAACATGCTCCAATGACCCAAGCGGCTGTCAAATCATGGAATGGCAAGTTGTACAAAGTTATCAAACATTACTGGAGGCCCCTTGCATCTTTCCTCAGTTTGCCCTTGGTTGATCTGGTTCAATTCTACGCAAGTTGTATAAGCCAGTTCAATTCTACAGGTTCAGCTCTAGACAATTCAATTCAACCAGTTCAAGCAAACTAGTTCAAGCCGATCTAGTTCAAGATGGCTGGCTTGGTTCAGCTTTAGTTCAGTCAATCTAGTCCAGTTCAATTTAAAAACTACTATCCAGTTCATTACAGTAAACTAATTCGAGTTAGGATCTATCCAGATCAATAGATTCAGTTGGGTCCAAAAACGATGGGTATGGATCTCAGATCAGGTCTCTTAAAGCAATTTTGAGTTTGGATTGTTTTCTTTCTTTGTTTCAGATGTCACACTAGCTTGACTATTACGATTACAATTGGGCTCTACCGGAGTTGCGATGGCCATCGGAATCTGCAATCTTACAAGCAAATCTGTGGCCAAAATGTGGCTCTTTGTTATCTAGACTGAAATCAACATTGACAGTTCCTCTTTTGGTTCTAAGAGTGCTTGCAGTAGTCAGTTTTGCAAGAAAGAATAGTCAATGTTGATCACTGTAATTAATGAAGATCAACGTAGACAAGCTGAAATGGCGTCTGTTGAGATGAAGAAAACAAGCTGGCACTGCTCTATACATTCTCTAATTTTGATTGGACAATTAGATGGCTACAAATGATTTTCTGAAAATTGGCAAATCCTCTATTCGAGTCCCAATGAATCGAATATTCGCTACCCTCTTAAATTGAATCGAATATTCAACTTTTGCCTTGATATAAATCATTGGATCGAGTTAAATTCTTTGGAACTATGCTGCGTGTTTAGAGTTCTATTTTTGCCTATTTTTGCTCTTAAAAATATAGACAAACTATTATTTTTTGGTACATGAAAAATTTACTTTTTATCAATTTGGTACATTAATGATTTTTTCTATCAATTTAGTACATCAAAAATTCTTTTTTTATCAATTTGGTACATTAATAATTTTTCTGTCAATTTAGTACATCAATCTTTCAAAGTTATAAAATTTAGTATATTCATCCATTTGGGTTAAAGTTGACTAACAATCAATTTAATCTGCATAGATGGAATGCTTACGTGCCGAAGGGTTTAATGACATGTCACTGGAGTATTATCATTTTGACATATGAAAAATTGACTTTTTTTTTATTAATTTAGTATATCAAAAAGTTTTCTTATCAATTTTTAAGAAAAAAGAAACAGATATAATATCACATGTAAGTGTGGTAAATGAAATTCACATAAACACTTATTAAAATGTACACATAACAATTTTTTTTCTCAATTTAGTAGTTAACTATCGGAAAGTGGTTGAGACAACTACATCTCTTTCACCTACAAAGGTGCAATATTAGATATGAAAACTAAAGCACCGTTAATTTTTTAATTGATAAGAAAACTTTTTGATGTACCAAATTGATGATAAAAAAAAAAAGTCAACTTTTCATATGTCAAAATGATAGTACTCCAATGACATATCATCAAACCCTTCACCACATAAGCACTCCATTTATACAAGTCAAATTGACTGCTAGTCAACTTTAACTCAAATGGATGAATGTACTAAATTTTATAATTTTGAAATAGTGATGTATTAAATTGATACAAAATATCATTAATGTATCAAAGTAATAAAAAGAAAAATTTTGATGTACTAAATTGATAGAAAAAATCATTAATGGACCAAATTGATAAAAAAAATGAATTTTTCATGTACCAAAATTATAGTTTTCTCAAAAATATATGCATCAATTACCAACGGATTACCAGAAAAATGGTTCCCTCGCTGATTATGCCTTGGATTTGTAGAGGCATTAATGGCGGGATAAGTTCCCTTGCTACATTAGCAATGCATTAGCGAGAAAAGCATTCCCTTGCTAATTTTTCATTTGATTTACCGAAAGATTAGTCAGGGATTAAGTTACTCACTATGTTAGGGATGGATTAGTAAGGGACACATTCCCTCACTAATTTTGCATTTGATTTACTGAGGGATTAGGGATGGAATTTACCTTGTTAATGAATGAATTAATACATACAGGATAAGGAGGATGCAAATATTCCTTTAAGTCAATGAGCGAAATAAGGACTCAGGTTCAAAAACGTGGAAGAATAGGACCGCCGTAGAATTATCCTAGTGGGAGAAATAAGGACCACAGAATTAAGTAGATTTTTCCTTCTTTTTCCAACCCCAACCCCGCCGCCCCCGCCCCCCCCCCCCCCCCCCCCCACCCACTAATTACAAGGTGTACCACTTCACCTGCACATTCTGAGTTCTGTTCTCTTCCAGTTAAAGCAAACTACAACCCAAGGAAACTTGAAATGGATCTAGTCAATGATGTGGAAGACAGAGAGCTACTCCACTCTCATGCTCACATAGTGAACCATATATTCAATTTCATAAATTCTATGTCTCTCAAGTGTGCTGTTCAACTAGGCATACCGGATGTAGTCAACAAGCATGGCCGGCCCATGACCCTGTCCGAGCTTATTGCTGCTCTTTCGATCAAGCCTTCCAGAGCCCAATCTGTCTTCCAGCTCATGCGCATGTTGGTGCACTCTGGCTTCTTCCTCAAGCAAAACGTTCTACAAAATGACGAGGAAGAAGAGGGTTACTTGCTCGCCCCAGTTTCTCGGCTTCTTCTCAAGGACGATCCTCTCAGTCTCACTCCATTTTTGCTAGCCATGCTAGACCCCATCGTAACGAATCCGTGGCATCATTTGAGTGAATGGTTCCAAAGTGATGATCCAACGGCGTTTGCCACGGCGCACGGGAGGACAATCTGGGAGCATTTAGGAGACGAACCAAAGTTTAACCTTCTCTTCAACGAAGCAATGGCTAGTGATGCCGGTTAGTCTCCAAATTGGTTATTAAGAACTGTAAGGGGGTTTTTGAGGGCTTGAACTCGTTGGTCGACGCTGGAGGCGGCACTGGTGCTATGGCCAAGTCCATTGCCGAAGCTTTTCCGCACTTGAAGTGCTCGGTGTTGGATCTTCCTCGGGTCGTTGCTGGATTGCAAGGAAGCAAGAATTTGGAATATGTTGCGGGTGATATGTTTGAGGCAATTCCTCGTGCTGATGCAGTTTTATTGAAGGTCAGTGTTGAGGAATGACTTTCCTATTTATCACTTATAGTTTTTACTTTATGCAGAAATTTCAAATTCATAATTACTATTATGCTATGATATAGTTGTGCGCATTATATATCTCAATTGCAGATTAATTATGTATTTATAAATTAAATAATAGGGATTTGTCAGTAAATAAATATTTTAAGAATATTGCTGGACCAAATTAATAGATTTTTTTTTAATTTTAGATTTTTGTGTGAAAACATGAAAAATTTAATTTTAAAAAAATTGATTTACGTAGAAGACAAAAGTTGGCTTCATTTGTAAAACCTCAAAAAAAAATCACTGTTTTAAATTTTAATTAGAAGTACTGATATACTAGGAATAGACGTGCTTTGTCAGAATTCTTATAATATTCTAAAGAAAAGTAGTAAACCATGAATGAGAGCTTTTCTGGAAAAATCAACTTTGAGAACTATTGAGATCAAAAAGGAAAAAAAAATAAATAAATAAAATTTATAAATTAAATTCAAAATAAAAATATAAATATTGAGTAGCCTGTTGAAGTAAATTTAACTTCTTAAAAAAGACAAAAAATATAAATATAATTTATAAATTTATAACTTAAAACTTTAAATAATTAAATATAATTTAAATATCATGTTTGAATTAAAATCTACTCTATTAATGACTCTAATTAGATATATGTTTTTTTAAAGTGTATAGTTGAAAAGGGAAAATAGCTACCCTCAATGTGAGGTGCCAATATCAGTTGGCTCTATTAATAACCATAATTAGATATATGTTCTTTGAAGTGTATAGTTGAAAAGGGAAAATAGCTACCCTCAATGTGAGGTGTCAATATCAGTCGGCTGTTAGCGTGCAGCTTCGACCGAAAGTATTGCCATCAAAATTCTTTATTTCCAGGTGTGAAGTCAGTTCCATGGAACCAAATTCTCAAAATAATTTTAAATTTCTTTTAAGAAGTGAGTTTCGTCAAAATTAACTTCTCAATGTCTTTTTTATTTTATTTTTTATTTTAAATTTAATTTGTAGAATTTTTTTTCGAGAAATTGGTAAGGATTTCTTAATATCCACTTTTTATTTTATATTGAATTTACAAATTATATTTGATTTTGTTCTTTTTGAGAAATCAGTTTTGTCGAAACTATCTTCTTAATTCCTCCGAAATCGAGAACTCATATTGAATTTGGTTCATCTTAACCAAAACCTTTGAAGCTGGCTTGGCCAGCCGATTTTTGATGGGTTAACTGGCTATGGACTTCTGAATGGATGTCCGTGATTCCATTTTAAAAGATAAAAAAATAAAAATAAAAAATAAAAAATATTTATTAGAAAGTGGATTCCTTAGGAATTGACTTTTTTCAATGCTCCCAAAATTATTACATTTTAATAAATATTCTCAAAAAATTAATATATTAATAATAATACAAGCCAACTAAAAACCCCTTTTATTTTTAAGCACAGCCCCTTTTTCTCGTAGGTGAGAGCCTCACCGATGAAACCGGGTTCCATTAGTTGGGTCAAATTGCAGTTTACAATGTTTATGTAGTTTTCTTGAAAGGAATAGGTTTTTGAAGCTGAACTTGTTGTTAGGAATTGAACTCTAACAATTAACAGAGATCTAAAATGCTTTGAATAAGTTACTCATTTGCTCCTGTGATTTAATTTCAATGGAAATGGCAAATAGTGGGTATTGCATAGCTGGAACGACGAACAGAATGTGAAAGTTCTGAAGCGATGCAAAGAAGCAATTCCCAGTAAAGACAGAGGAGGGAAGGTGATTATCATCGAAATGGTTGTGGAAAACCAGAAAGGAGAACATAAGTCCTTGGAAACACAACTCCTTTTCGACATGCTCATGATGATTATATGTACAGGCAGAGAGCGAACTGAGAAAGAATGGGCAAAGCTCTTCTTTGAGGCTGGTTTTAGTGACTATAAGATCACTCCTATTCTAGGTTTAAGGTGTTTTATTGAGGTTTATCCTTGATGAACTCTTCCTACCGCTTATGTTATGATCCTGCATCTACAGTGGACTTAAGTTGTATAATGTAATGCTAATGATGTGTTGTTTTATACTAATATTTTTATTTTCCTTGATCAAGAAGATCTATAAGAAGGGTCTCAAAGTCAAGGTCCAGTTCAATCAAGAATAGTTCAGGACTCCTTCAGTTTGTACTTTGTTTGTTTGATGATACAAGACATCACTACCAGAAAAAATTGATTTTCTAACCGCAAATCAGTGACCGCTTCTTGGGGTCACTAATCAGTGACCGCTTAGTGACTCATTAGTGACCCATCAGTGACCGAATTGCCTCATTTAAAAAAAAAAAAAATGTAGTAACCAAATTTGTTACCCTTTTTATGACTGATTTTGTGACCCACAGTAAATCGGTCACAAATTGGTCAGTAATTTAATAACCGTTATATATTAGTTACTAATGGGTCACTAATTAGTTACCCCATTCTGAATGGTTACAAAATTGGTCACTAAGGGTCACTAATTTAGCCATGCTTCCTTATATTTGGTCACTACTTAGTGACCTCCATGTAAGCAGTCACAATAGGGGTTACTAATTAGTGACTCTATTTTGAGCAATTACAAAGTGGATCACTAATTAATAACCAAAATTTGTACTAGTTCTAAAATGGGTCACTAATTAGTAATTCTAAATTTTTTATCTTTCTAAAATTTTATATTTTAATTAAATATGGATAGAAATTATCTAAAAATAATTGATAGGATCTCAAGTCATGATTGCATTTTTGAAGTGTGTAAATAATTTGTGAATTTAAACTATTGAAATCAAATAATTCATTAATATAAATTGATTTTTTGAATTAATCTGAATCTCCTATAAAAGTGAATTTCTATTTATATGAATTAGTTATAATAAAATTTCATAAAAAAAAATTAAGATGATTGCATATACCCATATATATATATATATATATGTAAGTAAACAAATAATCCATAAAAGAGTAAATAAAAATGTAAAACAAAAGAAGAGAATTTGTATTATAATGAAATATTGTTTTCTTAAGGGCCAATAACACTTAATTATTAATGTTTGACAGAATTATTGTAACAACTATACTATAATGAAGATCACATATGTCATTTAGTGTATATATCATGATAAAATATAAGAAATGAGAAATTTTTACTAGAAATACCTAATAGAATATCAAATAAATATAATAGTATATATGTAATGTTGGATTAGGTATAAAATTAATTAGTATACCCATTTTGTAATTATTTCGTACTTCTATATATATATATATATATATATCCTCATTTTTATAAATTAAATTGATACAAATTAAAAATTCATATAATTAAAATTTGAAAATCAAGATCTAATTCCATTATATTTTATATAATATTATAATTAAATATTAATTTTAAGAAAATATAAATTTTGTTAAATTATACTATATAGGCCCATTTCTATCTAGTTACAAGTATATTCTCATTTATTTACAAGTAGATCTCTATTCAATTACAAGCATATATCTCTATTTTGTAAACTAGGTCTAAGCCAAAGTTTCAAAGATATTAATTGGTTTAGTTACAAGCACAGCTCAGTTCGGTTACAAGTAGCGCTCTGTTTAATTACAACCACATCTCTGTTTAATTGCAAGCATATAGTCTAAGCCCAAGTCTCGCAGGAATCAATTGGTTCAGTTACAAGTACAATTTCGTCAAGTTACAAGCAGAGCCCCGTTTAGTTATAAGCAGATCTCTGTTCATTTACAAGCATATATCTCTATTTTGTGAACTAAGTTTCAAAAGGTATTGATTGATCCAGTTACAAGCACAATCCTGTTCAGTTACAAGCAAAGCTCCGTTTAGTTATAAGCACATCTCTGTTTAGTTACAAGTATATAGTTTAAGCTCAAGTCTCATAGGTATTAATTGGTTCAGTTACAAGCACAGTTCCGTCAAGTTACAAGCAGAGTGTCGTTTAGTTATAAGCAGATCTCCGTTCATTTACAAGTATATATATCTATTTTGTGAACTAAGTCTAAGCCTAAGTTTCAAAGGCATTGATTGATCCAGTTACAAACAGAGTCCCGTTCAGTTACAAGCAGAGCTCTGTTTAGTTACAAGCACATCTTATTCAGTTACAAGCATATAATTTAAGCTCTAGTCTCATAGGTATTAATTGGTTTAGTTACAAGCACAATTCTATCTTGTTACAAGCAAAGTCTCGTTTAGTTACAAGCATATGTATGTAAGCATATATATGTGTGTGTTTATGCACGCATACAAGTGTGTATATATATATATATCTAAATATGTATTTATATAAATATATGTACATGTGGGTTTGCATATTAATATTTTTACGAGGGAGAAACACTTCTAAATTTTTGTTTTTGAATAAAATAATCAAACCAAACCATAATTTTGGATTATTTTTTAAAACCAAACCCAATCAAATTTAAAAAAGCCAAACCAAATTTTAAAATCTAATTTCATTCTATTTTGTGTAACATTATAATTAAATACTAAATTTATATTTGGTTTTAAGTTTCTATATTTTTCTTTAATTTTGTGGGTATTTTAAATTGAAATATATTATAAATTATTTAAAAACAAAAAATTTGATAAAAACTATCAAAAAGAGAGAATTCTAATCTAAAAAATATAAAAATATTGAAAGCTGACCTAAAACCCATAAAATTTGATATAAAATAAAAACTTGTTTTCCTAAAATTTTCCCTCGACTCTCTCCATTTTTCATTTTCCCTCCTCCTCTCTTTATTGAAATTGGAACACCCCCAAAATTTTATTTCCCTCCTTTCTTTCTCTCTTCTCTCTTTATTTTTAGTTTTCCCCTCCTCCTGCCCTCTCTCTTCCCAAAATTGGATTATCTAATTTAGATGTCTTTATTGAATTTGGAAACCCCCCCCCTCCAAAATTTCATTTCCCTCCTCTCTCTGTCTCTCACTCTCTCTTTGTTTTTAGTTTTTCCCTCCTCCGGCCCTCTCTCTTCCCAAAACTGAGTTATTTAATCCAAATGTCTAGACCCTACGTGTAACACTCCATTCCAAAACTGGGTTTTCATCTTCCCTGATTCATGATTTTCTCTACAAAAAAAAAAAAAAAAAAAAACTATTTAGTGAGAAGTTTGAGTTGAATACAGAGAGATGAGCAGAACCACTACAAGAAATTATATTTTTTGTGAAGCTATTATTCGTCACCAGAAGCCTTAAAACTAATCACAAATAAATATAGTGAGAAAATTTTTAGTCGTCACTTGGCGTCACAATTGCTCAAGTCACTATTAATATTGTGACGAATTTTGTATTCATCACAAATATTCATTTTTTCAGTGACAACAAAAAATGTCATTAATACTCTGTATAATTGTGACCAAATATAATCGTCATAAATATTTGTACCAAAAGTGATGAAATATGGAGTCATTATTATTAGCTACTTGTGACGATTAAGTCATCACTTTTATATAATATTTAGTGACTATTTTTATGGTCACTATTATTGAGCAACATTTGTGATGTACATTATTGTCACTAATAGTTATTGAAATTAGTGACAACTTAGACTAATTGTCACTATTTTAGAAAATTATTTGTGACATATAATTTTGTCACTAAAAATTATCATCATTGTGACCAACAAATTCAATATCAGTGATAATTTCTATCGTCACTAACATTATTATTAATAGTGGCTAAATTTATTAGCCACATTTATTTTTATACCTTCCATTAAATTATAATTTTATTAATATAATTTTTTTATTATTCTTTTTGTATCTATTGATTTTTGGTGCAATACATCACAAAAAATTATTTTTGTAAAATCTCAAATAATAGTAAAAAAAATAAATTATTAAAAAATGTATAACAAAAACATCCAAAATATTATTAAATTAAGATAAGAATATTTATTATCAATTACATAAAATTTAACAAAGACAAAAGTAAACCATTCAAACTCAACTACAATAAAATTTTTAAACACTATTCTAACTTCATCTCAATGCTGATAACTTTGGAGCTTGAACACATCTGTCATTCCAATAATCTTCCATCAAGAAATTTGACCCTGCACAAATAAAAGTATTGTTATAATTTTGTTATTTATAAATTATAAATATATTTAATATTTACTTTTATGTATTTAAGCAAAATGATTAATTTATCAAACTTACAGAACTAAGATCATTCAACGTGCTAGACCCTTGTTTCAATTGTAGCCCCTCGTTGGTTAGGCGTGCTAAAAGAGTTGCCATTTTTTCATTTATCCCCTTTTGGAACTCATGTTGCATTTGCTCACGTTGAGTTTCAAGAGCTTTACGTTGAGCTTCAAGTTCTGTACGTTGAGATTGTAATTCTTGCACAAGTTGGGAATTTGTATCCTCTTGCTTTTTGGTGATTTCAATTAGTTTTTGAAGTTCTAACTATAACTCACTTGCTCTCTTTTGAGCAGTTTCGGCTTGTTTCTGAATGCGTTGTCTTTTTTAACTGTAGAATTTATCGCTCCAACTCCTACACCTCTTGAATGATTTGGTTTCCTTCCTAATACCAATGCAAATTGTTCCACCATTGGTATAGGAGCACTTGAAATCTCTTCATTATATATGTCACCAATGTCTTTAAGTTTATTATGTATTTTTATATAGTATTAAAATCAATATTTTAAAACATAAAATTAATAATAAATAATAATAAAAAATGCATAAATATTTTCATATTTACATACCATTATATCTTCTCCATTTGGAGTAGACCAATTTCCATTTGATTTTATCCGAGTAGCTTTCCATACTTCCACAGCATCGGGCCATTCATCAGATTCTGGATCTTTCTATTGATAAAAAAATAAAAAAAAATTAGAAAGACATAAAATATAAAAAAAAAATTAAGGAAAAAGTATTACCATTTCATATGCTTTCTGTATGATTGACTTGGTACCCATAACAGATCCAATTTCTTGCTTACTCCTATTCT